CAAATAAGATATAAACAACAAATAAAATGTAAAAAGAAAGACGTATTTAATGTTTTAAAACGAAATTAAGTTTTATTTTGAAAATATATTATTAAAATATAGTGAAATAACACAATCGACTAAAGGTTTTGAGAAGTTCAGAAACACTCTAGACAAGCCGGTTTTTTTGGAAGAGGACAATCGACAATGTTCATAGTGAAATAACACAATCGACTAAATGACCGTTTACTAAACGCTTATTTAGTAAGTATTTACCGGGTCACTACCTTATCAGATGAATATGACAATGAGAATCTTACCAATAGTCTTACATGGTAAGTGATAGTAACGACTCCTACCCAGTAAGAGTTTATTGGATAAATTGCTGCATACGATATCGTTTTAATGGACTAAAATGTTACCCACTAAATTAAATTAAAGTGTTGACTCTTACAGATAAACGCTTACTGGGTATGCGTTGGGTAAACGACTCTAAAGTCTTTGAGGAAGGAAATGGATAAACTTTCCGATTCTTTTCAAATTTTAAGCGTCTTATGTTATGAAGATGATATATCATATGTGATTGTTGACTTCAATGTTGAATATGATACATGCACAATGAGCATCTTAGGTTGATTAGATAATGACACCTCAGCTTCGCAAAGAAGAATTCATTTACAACAGAAAGTCTTAACTACAAGAGATTAGAAATCGTATCTCACGATGATTGGTTGGGGCCTTCGTTCCCTCTTTTGCCAATTAGCTTATGGAGATCAGGTTCTCACTACCAGTCCAAGTGGGTATTCTTCTAAGAAAGCCCCTTCTTCTAGTCTTTATCTTGACACCTTTATTATTACATCAAACAACAATTGAATTGGGATCAAAGAATTAAGCTGGAATCGCAAGAAAACCCAGTCTCCAACTGAAAATTCCCTATTTGTGGTGCACAATTTCATGGAATGTAGATAGTGCTTATCATCGATTTAATAGAAAAGATGGAATAGTGTGTATCTTGCGGTGGAGATTTCCTAAAAAATATCATTGAGTCTTCCTCTGATTTGTTATAAAAGATATTCAATCGTTCAGAATAAAAGTTAAAGAGGATATTTATGCTCGTCATGTCCTTTATATGGATATCATAACAAGGTCCATTGACTCATATAATAATTTAGGTTTGATGTTGTATGATTGTTAGAGATTTGACAAGTGATTTTAAAAGAGAATCAATATTTATAATTGATCATATATGACGGGTTGTTAGTGTTTTGTAATAATTTTAGGATTATTGATGTTGTATTTGACATTTGACATATCATTTATGATATGTTATTATTAAAAATATCAAGTAAAGTCGATCCTAAAAGTTTGGGATAGGCACAATTATCAACATAATCCCACATGTTCAAGCACAACATGTTATCCTTTTTTTATATAAATGATCCGTTAAAATAATCAAGTGGTTAAGATTACTTCTCGTAAATTGGCCAGTTTCGTGTTTGATCTTGACTATATATATATATATATATATATATATATATATATTATAGTAATAATATTTAAGAAAACAAAAAAAAAATCAAATAAGCATAACCTAAATGTTCATAAAACTAATTAGGAGTTAGGGTTAGGTTTATTAATAGGGATAGACCTACACTGATTGATATGATGGCATGAATTATCGTTTTATGGTTCTGTTATAAGAGAAAAGAAGTACGTACGTTTATGGTGGATGTCATCGTATTATTTTCTTGGGTGCCATATATAGTTTTTAAAATTGGAATTTAAGCATTAGACTTTGATGGTGTAGATGGTTAATGAGTCTACCTCTGTACAGAAGTATCGGGTTTGAGTTTCACTGGTGTTGAATTTGTTAATTTTTAGTTTTGGTGTTTTTTTATACACCTTTTGTGTTTTTAAAGAGTTATGTAAGCATGACTTAAACATGAGTCTCTTTAGTTTATAGACGGATAAAGAACCGACTAACAGATTTTTACTCATATTGTGAAATTATGCCACCATTTACAAGAATTCTTGGATCCGCTTGTGTTTGTTAGAGTTGGTGTATGAAAGAGTCGGAGTTGACTTGCTATTTTAGCACAAATAATGAGTAGCTAGTAGTTTTCGAGGTAAATGTGTTTCGTGTGCTTTTATTTAATAAAGCTTGTTTCTCTAATAGAAGACAAGTCCCAAGTTCGATCCAAACCTCCACCCCTCTCCGGCTAGCCTCAATCGTCGAATGAGCTAAAAAATGTCCCTCACATTGGTGTTTTTGAAAGCGAGTTTCGTGTGGAACCAACTGAGGTTGTTGATAATCAATTTTTTTTATCCAAATAGCTACTAAATAAGGATAAATGTTTAACAAAAAAGATATTTCTAACACGATCTTGCCAACTACGAAACCACTTATTTTCTTACATTTATTTAGCCCCCTCCGTATTAATTTTTTGGCTCCACCCTTATTTCTCTTTTAATTTAAAATGCAATTTCCGGTAAATACAATGTAGTATTTGTCTCATGGACGGACCCATCTATATGGTATAAAAAAATTAGGTTTCGTGAACAGTGCAACCGTATTAATTTGTTGTGTGCCACCATATGTGTTTTGAAACTATAACGAGAAATTTTTTTATTTGGTAGAGTTGGTTTGCAAGACTTTTATTCCACTCCAGACCCAAGTTCGGATCCTGTTAGTGTCATTTTCTTAGTCAAATGGTGTCATCATTTGAAAAAAAACTCCGTATATTTGTTTCTTATAGTCAAACGGTGCCACCGTTTGAAAAAATTTCCCAATATTTTTTCTTATCGTCAAATGGTGCCCCCGTTTGAAATTTTTTTTGAGTCCATCCCTGATTTGTCTTTCTAAATAAAGTTTCCAATATTACAAGTTGCACCCCCGTAGTTCTCATGTTTGTGGTTCTAGGGCTTAAAGTTATAGTTGCACCTTTCAATGGGAATATTCTTTACGCATGAACCCCCTCGGTATTCAGTAGGTCTGCCCCTGTTGAAGAGAACACATCAACGTGTTACTCAATAGTTGTTTGAAAGAGTTCCATAAAAACTCATATTTTGATCTTATTTTATTTGCATCTACGTTAATAGGTCAATATATTTGTATCTTACGATAATGTTTGGAAAGATGATGGTTATCGTTGGAGGAGGTTAAATGACGTACTGCATTCACAAGTAACCGACGTTTTGTATGAAATGTTTAAAGTCGAAAAGGAAGTATGAGCTCCACGTGAATGTTCGTAACTTGGCCAAATTAGTTGTTGTATTGTATCATAATTTAATAGTCAGATTAGTTGTAGTTGTTTGTAAAAAAAATAAGAAAATTTATTTATAATCAAAATAAGAAAATATGAAAACGATTAAATCACGTATAAAATCACATGTGATTTTACACTAATAGTCAACAAAAGGGTGTGCTAACAACATTGCGTGAATCACATGTGATTCGACCATTTTTTTATTCTTCTATTTGATTATTATTACTACAATAAAATTGGAATTTATAGGACATCATCAATTTCGAAGCGTTTTAATAGACTGTTTTACAAGACTTAATTTATATGACTAAAAAATGAAGTGTTCTTATGATACTTTTGTGCATCCTAACAAGTTTTTAGAACATTTTCAATACAAAATGTTGCATTAACAATTTTGTAAGACACTTTTGAGAAAGTGTCCTATAATCTCATCTTTTATAGAAAAACTTTTTAAATAGTGTTTTATAAAATTGCTACCGTGACGCTTTGTATAAAAAATGTCCTAAAAATTTTGATAAAACGCCTAAAAACGTCATATAAACTTATTACAACTTATTTAGATTACTTTATTTTTGATCTTATAAATTAAGTCTTATAAAATGGTCTATTAAGACATTTAATTTTTTTTGAAGTTCTATAAGTATAAACCTGATTTTGTTGTAGTGTGTTCTTGTATGAACCTGAGTCTATTCACACACATATATATAATAATAATATATATATATATATATATATCATTAGAATTATGAAGAAAATAATAATATTATTTAATGAGGAAAACTAGTCTCATAACTACTTTGCTTTTATCTTTTTTGCTACAAAAGTCAAAAATAAATAGCGATCCCTACCTAACACCCAACGTGTTAGATTCTCCAATTGCTGTCAATTCACTCCTTCATAAATAGCGATCCCTACCAAAATAAATAGTTCATGGTATCCTCTGCCATCTCGATTAAGAATCGCTTTAATAAATAAAATCATTTAATAATCCAATAAACGGCGATAAATTTAGAAACGGATGTGATATTTTTTCATTTATGACTTGGATTTAATGTATTAATTAATATATATTTGTTTCATAATGTGTTGTTTAATATATATTCGTTTCACAATATGAAACTTTTTATTTTATTTTTTATTTCGCAAACACATAAAAAAATGTTCACATTGTAAAACGAATATTTGTGAAACAAATATATGTAAATTAATACAGTAAATCTAAGCCATAGATGGAAAAAAAATCACGTGAAATAGCAGACAACGAACCGAGTCTCTAGCTTATCACAATAGCATACACTAAATCCGATCCAATCTAATCCATGATTGAATCGATTTGGTTCAATCCATTGGATATTTTTATTGAATATCCATTGGATCGAATTAGATATCCATCAAATATTTTTATTGGATATTCTATTGGACCGATTATGTCCAACATCCTATGGATGATCTATTGGATATTCAGATTTTTTTATTATTTTACCACATTAACAAATTGTATAGGTTATAAGAATGTATTTGACAGGTTTTAAAAAGTCCAAGAAGTTATTTAATAGGTCTTGAAATGTCCAATGATTTATTTGTTCTAAAAAATTGTCGAATAACTTAATCATTTCAAACACTAAACTCCATTGGATTTTTTAGACTTTTCCCTTTTATTTACTACAATATAAAATAAACTCAAAATGAATTAAATTTTATACCACATGATTGGATAATATATATATACATACATATACATATATATATATAGAGAGAGATAGAGAGAGAGAGAGAGCCTGATTAAGTTCACCGTAATCGTACAAGGACAGGCGGATGGTATAGTAATCCTGTAGCCATGTATGAAGCTCTCTTCAATAACAAGTTCACAGATGCACTTGTCTTCTACTTCTCCGTTCTACTTTTGCTCCTCTTTTCGCCATTTCTTTTCACTTGGGAGCTCATCACCACCCTCCGATCATGTTTCCAGAAGACGGAAAACGTGGCCGGAAAAGTCGTTTTGATCACCGGTGCTTCATCCGGGATTGGAGAGGTTCATAAACTTTATATCGTGCATTTCAATTTTAATTAGCAAGGAAAAGACGGTTTAATTAACTTTGTTTAATTTGATACAAAATGGCAGCTCATGGCATACGAATATGCGAAAAGAGGTGCGTGTCTAGCGATTATAGCGATAAAAGAAGCAAATTCTCGGCTCGAGGAAGTGGCAGAAAGAGCTCGTGAACTCGGCTCTCCTGATGTTCTTTTCTTGTTTGCCGACGTGTCGAAGGTCGACGAGTGTAGGATGTTCGTGGATGACACCGTTAAACATTTTGGTCGTCGTGAGTAACCGTATATACTCTCCAAAATCGACTACTTTTAAAATTTTTACCCACGTTTACAAGAAATCTGGGTTTATCGGACCAAACACGTGCGTGTTTTTTTCTAAAATGTTGTAATTAGCTTATACGATGCTCTTAGATGTCTTAACAACCTTTTTATGTAGTGGACACTCTCATGATTTAAGTAACATGCATGCTACTCGATCGATCCTTTTGCAGTGGATCATCTGGTAATGAATGCAGGAATCGGGCCCCTTTATGCGATAGACATTGATGTCACCAAATTCCGACCTGTAATGGTATATATGATCGATCCTTTACTAAACACCCAAAATTCGTCTTCATAAGTCCTGTTTCTTGTGGTATGAACAGCTAATGAACATGACTTCAATGTACGATTATATATATGCAGGATATAAACTTCTGGGGATCGGTTTATCCAACTCAATTTGCGATCCCACACCTCCAGAAAACCAAAGGCAAGATCATCGTTAATGCCTCATCCGCCGGATTGTTGAACCTACCGAAAGGCGGCTTCTACAATGTAAATTAAAGAACCTCCCGTGAATCTTTCAAGATTTGTTAGAAGACGAAAAATTCCAAGATCATATATGATCTTGTAATTGAGCGTCTTCTAAAGGATCCAATTATATATATATATATATATATATATATATATATATATTTAAAAAATCATATAATATGAGGTTGTGGATTGATTGAGTTTCATTCAGGCAAGTAAAGCAGCATTGATCAGCTTTTACGATTCCCTTAGATTCGAAGTGTCTCCAACAATCACCATAACAATCTTGACACTTGGCTTCATACAAACAGACTTCATTACAGCCAAGTATTCAACCAACGGGGTTGGTATCCGTCTCAAAAACGTAAGTAATTCATTTCCTTTTAATTATATTATCTAAAATTCAAAAATAATAAATATAGTAAAATTTATGGTTTTCAATTCCTTATAAATAGAGCCTGTATTGACATATTTTCATCTTTTCAGTTTTTCTCTTCATTTCAATCATCTCATTATCTTGCAAATTCTAAAAAAAATTTATAATTTTTTTTTCAATTTTCTGTTATGTATTCAAACTTTACAAATTTCTTTTTAGATTCTCAACATCCTGATAAAATCATCCGAACACCCACTATGAAAACTTACTACAATTATTTATGTATTTCAAATATGTAATTTTATACTTATTTTATTTAATTTCAATTGTATGGTAAGTTTTCATAATTATAATTACGTTTTAAAATATATATTGATCCGTTTATTCTATTCTTATACTTAAAATTAAAATTTAAAACTAAATATATGGTTTTTATAAAATAATATTTTAGATTGGACTGGATTGGAGGGGATTGTGGTTAAATGATAAAAAAAAAAGTAAGATTGAATTGAAGTTAAAGACCGTATAGGTAGATGAAAGAGAAAGTAATATTTTAATTAAGATTGAGTTGTAAAGAATTATGAGTAAAGATGGTCTTAAGGTTAATTATATTTTAAAACCTAAAATATTTTAAAAATTATAAGTATTTATGATGAATATTAATATCTATTACGACATTTATAAAAATAAAAAATTTATTACGTTATTCATTATGAATACTTATAAAAAAATGATAGCTCTTGAACTTTGTAAAATATTTAAAATCCTAAATAAACTGGTCGATGGAATTACAGGATATGGGAACTCTATATCCTTCAATGGGGGCGAAGCCATGTGCAAAAGCCATTGTTGATGGAGTATGCAAAGGAGCAACATCCATTGCCGAACCAAGGTTCATTAAGGCTCTCATCGTCGTCAAGTTCTTGTTCCCAGAACTACATCGTATCATCTTCGATGTTTCTCTTCCCTCGGACTCTCCAACTGACTAAATTTTTAATAACATGTTATTGTTGGATATAGAATCTGATTTGAATATTATTTTGTTTGTGAATTTAGGTTTATTTGAAACTTTATACGAAACTAATAAGATTGTGATTTATCACCATGTTTATGCTATGATTGACAACCTCAAAGGATTGTACAGTAGAGGTTGAACATGGTACGATATCATGTTTTTTTCACCTATATCGTGTACGTTGGTACACAAATTTTTATATTGCGTTCCAACTAACTTTACTTGGTACCAACTTAATAAATAGAACTTTCTTCGGTTGGTATAGTTTTGTACCAACATCGTAAAAGTTAAAGGTCAACATTTATTATATATTGATATTTTTTTGATTAACCTGAATATCTAACTCGCTATGCGAGCCGACTAATTCCAAGACAACCACCCATTTCACGGGTAGTCCTAAGTTACCGCATTTGAACCTCTGTGGCAACAAAGAGATTTTTATTATTCCTTTGATTCGAACCTGAGACCTCCAGACAGTTTTGACCATTGGAGCCCAAGTTCAAACCAATCGGACACAACCCTTGTCATTATATGTTGATCTTTTAACCAAGTAGATACACTAATACCATCAGAGATTTAAATAACATGTTAATATATTTTGTACCATTTATTCCAACATGTCCAAACATTAGTTACCTTTACATAGATGATAAAAACATTCACCACAAAAGTGGTGTCTGATTGGTTTGAGCTTGAGCTCCAAATGTCAAAAGTATTTGGAGGTCTCAGGTTCAAATCCAAGGAGGAATATAAATCTCTTTTTGGCCACGAGGGTTCAAATACGATGACTCTGGACTATCCATAAAACAGATGGTCACCTTAAGATTAGTCGATTCACCTAACGAATTAGATATACATAAATTTAGAAGTAAATTTACCTATAGTTCTCAAAAAGTAAGGAGGCGTTTGGTTCGTAGAATGGAATTCGATGGAATTGGAATTCATCAAATGAATTTGACTTTGAAGGAATAGAATGGAATTAGATGGAATTTGACTATGTCTTGTGATTGCGTTTGGTTGCATGGAATTGGAATGAATTTGGATTAGGRAAGRAATTTGTCGGATAGRAATTGAAATCCGAGGGTATTGCCGTGGAATGTAAAATCCACGAGTGAAGGAATTTATTGGAATTGAAAGAATTCCATCAGTTTTATTCCATGAACCAAACATTGTATTTGGAATTTAGTCAAAGGATTTGGCCATTCCAATTCCTTTCAATTCCATTCAAATCCATGAACCAAATAGCCCCTAAGAGATGAACATATGTACTCCATTTAGTCCTCAACTTAAAGAACGCGCTTTCATCAAATAACATTTAATCAATGAAATTTTTTTAATATTAAGAAATTTAGAATTTATAAAATAGAAAATAAAATGATTAAAAATTTAATAATAAAAAATATGTTATGTCATAGATTAAATTTTTAATTAATCAATCATTAAAAAAGGAGGTATGATATAATATTAGAGTGGTATACGACTTCAAATACCACATACCAACCAACTTTATATAGTTGATACGATATATTACTAACCGGTTACAATCGATACCAATTAAATTGGTAGGTTTGATAGATGAGTTGGTTGGTTGGTTTTGGTATAAAATTGACACATTTATTGTACAATTTTAGAAATGACAATTTAATTTTTAATAATAAAGGGAGTAATGAATTTATCCATCTCATAATTAAAGGTAGAATTTTAAAGTTGACACTTATGAAAGCATACAAACTAAAATAAAAATATAGACATTATGCGAACTGAACGCGCTCTTAGCTAGGGGTAGATTGTACGGTACCAAGTTTTTTTTTTTCTAATACCGTGTATCAATCAATTATAGTTGGTATTTAAAATCATATACAAGTACAATTAATTGTATATGGTGCCAACTTAATTTGTACCAACTTTTTTCAGATTGTACTACATTATTATGTTGTATTTTTTTTAATTCAAAATAACCACAATTCTCTAAATTGATAAATTCATTTTATCTCTTTAGCAATTGAGTTACACTACACGTTAAAAACGTATTATACTAGTTAATTATTTGCTTAACATCACATAAAATTGGTTATAGGACGTCAAAAATGTCAAAGTATCTCAATAAACTGCATTACGGAATTTAAGTTCAATGGATCAAACCATAAGGCGTTATACTTAAAAAGAATTACGATAAATTTATTAATTTTTTTTGGTTGTAGAACGTTTATCAAAAGTGTCTTATAAAATATATAAAATAATATTTTATTTTAAAAATATCATAAAAGTTTGTTATGATGTCTACAAAATCCTATAAAATTATTGTAACATTTTTAGATGTGATATTTTATTATTTATTTATATAAACTTAAATCCTATAAATAATTTATTAAGACATTTAATATATCTTTGGTATTATACAAACTATTTTTGTTATGCAATTAAAAAAACTTAAAATATAAAGAAAAAATAAGAACCCAACTCCCCCTACTTTGTCGTATGTGTGTAATTGTTATTTATTTTCTCTGTCGTTCCCCACTTCGTCTGAACAAAGGACACGAAGAATACAACATTTTCAGAAAACACTTAATTATATATTGTTTTTTAATCAATATTTCATTAAAAAAAAGCCCATATTTATCTTGTTTAAATATTAAAAAAAATTAATTAAAATAGTTATTTTCAGACTTTTTGAGTTCATTTCTTTCCCCAAAATTTAAAAATATCACTATGTCCCTTAGTGACACCTTCTAAATTTATGAAGGGGTCAAAATGTATAAAAAAAATTATAAACTTGATCCACAAGTACATATGAACCAAATCTGTAAATAAGATAAAGGTCTTGCGACTCTGTTTATGACTTTGGTCGTATCTAAACTCATCCAGATCCATTTTTTATTGGAACTCTAATGCTTGATGCGAGTTGTGAGGCGGGTCCATTGACAATAGCTTTGATACATAAATCAAACGATAAGAGATACTGATTGTGGAGCAAGTAGAGTCGTCGATGAAATCACCCACTCTAGAATTGACTTGGACGTTTTTTTGGGCTACGATTAAGCATTTATCCTACTTTTGAGGCTTTTGCCTTGTTGCTTACCGACCAAACAAAAGCAAACCAATTTTATGAGCTTTTTTTTTCTTCACATAATTTAATACAAACTCGGGCTTTTTAAGCATCCAATTCACATTAATTAGTAGGTAAATTTTATCATTGAAGTGTATAAAAACATCACTTATTAATATGTGAATTAATATGAAATAATTTGTAATGTCGGTTCACATATGTATTTTTAAATATATTTTTTTTACATTTGTTTAATGATACACATATGAACCTCTCCTTAACCATTCTTTTTTATATTTTCACGGTATTTAATATTCTTATTTGTTTCTCCAAAAAGAACATTCTTATTGAATCTCCCACTTAATAACCATGCTAGAAGCATAATTATTTACAAACTCAATAACTCGCATTATTTTTAAACAATTTATGAATATTAAGGTTTTTCATAGTTAAAGGACCTGTTTTACAAAAAAAGGTATCTCTGTTTAAATATCATATTTGAAAAAAAGAGATGATATTTGGAGCTTGTTATTGGCTCGTTTAGTCGGCTAAACATTTTGGAGATAAATATAGAGGGTGTTTCTAGCAACATTTGGGTTCAAGAAAGCATTACTAAGCTCATAGTCTCCACCTGAAACCGTGTTTTATCGTCATTTTGACGTAAAATACTCAATCAAAGTTTAAGTTCTTTATATGGTTAACTTCATTTTTAAGTTCTTTATTGAACTTTGGTAGACTAGACTTATGTCTCAGATTTTAGTTTAGAATGTCTAGTTATCAGTTTTTCTTTTAAGATTTTCGAATTATGTAAAAATCGAAAATAAGACTCAATACTTGATGATTCTCGTTGATTCTTGCTCATGTGGTTGAGAAAAATAATTCTCTACCGTTTTTGTGAAAAGAATCAACTAAGATGGTTAGAAAAGAAGGCCGAACGGTTGTTTCCTGAGTTTCTAGTGAGTTGTCAACAAAATAACGTTGGGACCTGGGTTGTTTCATGGGAGTTTGGAGGGTTGTCAGTTTCAAACCCTATACTTTTTAAATGTGCTCATTAAACCAAAAAGTTTTAATTGCAAATCAGTCCTTAACTTTGAATTTGTATTGGAATTTCTCTTTTTATAAGTTGAAATAATTGGGGGTTATTTATGAGCTCTAGTAGTCTAGTATAGTTACTATTTATTAAGCTTTTGGACCATTTTCTGGGTTAGTGGAGCCATATGGGTACAATTTATTTAATTAATTAATTTCTAATTCAAAAGGATGGAATTATAAGTTTATAAAATTATTAATTTGACGTTTTAAGATGTCGTCGAGTTTTTGACTTTAGGTTTGACTAAAGCTGGTCGAGGTTGACCAAGTCGATTGAGAATTGACTTTTATCTCGTTTAACCCACAAGTTTTTTTTAGCTTAGAGATCTAATGAATATATTTGAGACATTAAGAAACCCGGTTTTGGAGTTTGACTTAACGTTGGGTTGAATTTGACCATAGTTGACTATTGGTGAAATGAAGCCATTAATTGGATACTATAGTATGAAATATGTAGGGTTTCGGTCAAAAGTTATTAGTATTTGATCTATAAGGACAGGTTAGTCCTCATGAGACTTACAATGACATGCATATCTATGTACAAATTTATTTTTGAGCATGATATGATTTGTTTGGTGATGTGTAAACATGTCGCTCATCTAGTTGAAGTATTGGGATGTTTCAGTTTACATACATGATCCAGTATATTTTACATGTATGTATGCATGTATGTATGTATGTATGTATGTATGTATGTATGTATGTATGTATGTATGTGTTTGTATGTATGTATGTATGCATGTATGTATGTATGTATGTATGTATGTATGTATGTATGTATGTATGTATGTATGTATGTATGTATGTATGTATGTATGTATGTATGTATGTATGTATGNTGTATGTATGTATGTATGTATGTATGTATGTATGTATGTATGTATGTATGTATGTATGTATGTATGTATGTATGTATGTATGTATGTATGTGTTTCATTGTTATACCATGCCTTGTGTCATTTATAA